GGTGTGGAGCCTGAGGGAAGCTGGACCTATTCGTGTGGCGTTTGGAGTTCTCCGGGTGCTTCATTCTCAGCGGGAGCCACTCTCTCCCAGGGAGCTTCGCGAGTGGTTTGCCCGGTGCTAGAGCCGTGCTAGCTGGAGCTGGAGGTTCTTCGGCTGCTGAGGGGTGCTGGTGTCGCGGGTCCCAGAGTGTGCCTCGTACTGGGAGTACTGGAGCTGCGTGGGGCCTGCGGGTTCGACTGGAGCTGGTGCTGCTGAGGGTGTTGGCTCTGAGACTACTGCTGGCGGTCCTGCTGGGGGTGCTACTGGTGCTGTTGGAGGTTCTGGCAGCTGCTGGAGGGTGCATGCTCGAGCTGGTGCTCCTGCTGGGGGTACTGGTGCTGTCCCTGCTATGTCTGGCGTCGCCGCGCGGCCCTCGACCGTACTTCGTTCCACTCTTGCAGCATGTTCTTGGTCTTCCGCCTTCTAGTGGTCCTCCTCCTTCTTTAGAGTGTCCACAGCCTATCCCGTCACAGTTACAATTACGGCCTACCTCCCCTTTGCCTGTTCCTTCTCCTACACCGGTCCTACGGGAGGTCTTGCTGAGCGTCGTGAGCCTGCGTCTCGCCCTGCGTCGCCTGTCCGTGCTGCTCGCACCTAGTGGTCGTGGGTTCGCGTCAGCGTCCTCCTCCTGTCCCTGGCACGCACCGGATGTCGATGCGTCCGTCCAAGGCCATGCTGGTCGGTGTCTCCCAGGAGCAACATAGCGTGTGAGAATACTAAGAGGGGTATGCAGGGTCAGGTCGTGTGCAGGTCATCGGGTACATGAGGCAGCCAACAAGCTCTGGATACGGGCCACTCGACTCTAACGGACTCATCCGAAGGCAGAGCTGAGAGCGAGTGGCGAGTAGGCAGAGGAGTGGCCTGAGGCGAGGAGTACGTGAAGCCGAAGCGCTGAAAGACCTGCTGCAACCATTTGTGACTGAGTCAGGGGTAATGTGTGCGGCGTGCTCAGTCCCGGTGATCTGCAAGCCAAGGTAGCTGCGGCCAGTTCACCCAGGTCTGTGCACGTGTGGTCTCTTTTGGCAGCTCGGACTTCACGTAGGCGAGTCCAGTAGTGTCAGCTGTGGCAAAGACCAAGTCGTCGACGTACACAGGATGTAGAAAGGCGGCAGAGAGGTGTCGGTGCGCAGATGCAGCGACGGGTTGGTAGTAGAAGGAGCAAACCCAAGAGCCGCAAGTGTGTCGTGCCACTCACGGGGTGCCTGGCGGAGACCGTAGACTGGACGCCGGAGAATCCACTGGGTACGAGGAGGGACCGACCAGTGAAGCCAGGCGAGGCGGCGCAGCCAGAGATCTCATCGTGCAGGCTGCCCTGCAAAGAAAGCCTGTGTTGAAGTCAAAGAGATGCAGCTCGTAGTCACGTGTGAGCAGCAACGTGCAGCAGTACCCGAAGAGTGGTCCATCTCGGGGTGGGAGAGAAGGTCTGAAAGTAGTCAACTCCCTGCCACTGACTGAAGCCACGAGCCACGTAGCGTGCGTTGAAGACAGGCGGAGAACCCGGCGGCCGCTTCACCCTGAAGATCCACATGCCACTGACGATGTTCGCCCCCAGGCGGGGGAACCTCGTCAACATAGGTGCCTGTGGACTTCCAGGAAGCCATCTCTGTCTCCATAGCTGCCAACCACTGAGAAGAGTAGGGACCCTCTATCGCCTCCGCGTAAGAGCGCGGGGTCGGGATGTCAAGTGCATCCGGGTCTCCTCAGGGGTAAGCAGTACGGACACGAGATGAGGTGAAGCAGCAGCCAGACACTGGAACTGCTCCTGCCTGTCCTCAAGGACGTCCGTGCCAAGGGCACACTCACCCCCGACGGACGGAGGTCAGACAGACTCAGACTCGGCGACAAGACTGGCAGCGTAGTCTAGGCGACAGCGAGCAGCAAAGTCGACGAGCTCAGCAACTAGGGCAGACGCAGCAGTGGACTCGAAAGAAGGGTCAGTGACGACAGTAGCAAGGAGACGCGTGACAGTAGGACTGGCAGCACAAAGAGAGTCCGACTCCGGGTCGGCAAGAGCAGGAAGAGAGGACTCAGGAGAAGAAGGTAAAGGGGCACGCAGGGGGAGCAGGTGGACGGACGCAAAGACATCTGGTGCATGCCAGGGGACAGGAGGAGGACGCTGACGCGAACCACGACCACTAGTGCGAGTAGCACGAACTGGCGACGCAGGGCGAGACGCAGGCTTACGACGCTCAGCAAGACCTCCAGTAGGACCAGTGTAGGGAGAAGGAACAGGCAAAGGGGAGGTAGGCTGTAACTGTTACTGTGGACGCGACAGGCTGTGGACACTCTAAAGAAGGAGGAGGACCTGTAGAAGGTGGAAGACCAAGAACCTGCTGGCAGGAGTGGAACGAAGTACGGTCGAGGCCGCGGCGGCGACGCCAGACACAGCAAGAACAGCACCAGTACCCCCAGCAGGAGCATCTGCTCCAGTAGCACCTCCAGCAGCTCCAGAACCTCCAGCAGTCACCAGTAGTAACCCCCAGCAGGACCACGAGCAGTAGGCTCAGCACCAATGCCCGCAGCAGCACAACAGCTCCATTCGAACCCGCAGGCCCTGCAGCTCCAGTACTCCTAGTACGAGCACCTCCGGGACCCGCGGCACCAGAGCACCCTCAGCAGCTGAAGAACCTCCAGCTCCAGCAGCACGCCTCCAGCGCCGGGCAAACAACTCGCGCAGCTCCGTGGAGAGAGTGGCTCCAGGCGAGACGAAGCACCAGGAGGACCTCCAGGCGTAGCACCTCCAAGCTCAGCACCCTCAGGCTCAGCACCCCCAGGCTCAGCACCCCGAGGGCACAGCACCCCCAGGCGTAGTACCCCCAGGCACAGCACCCCCAGGCTCAGCACACCCAGGCTCAGCACCCCCAGTCTCAGCACCCCCAGGCTCAGCACCCCCAATCCAGCACCCCTAGGCTCAGCACCCCAGTCTCAGCACCCTCAGCAGCACCATGAGTCACAAGTAACCTCGACAGGCTCGACTGCGTCTACCTGGGACACACCTGAAGGGGCAGGACCCTGAGGGGGGAGGGGTCTACCGGGGGGGGGACCTGTGACAAGGAAGAGCGGGGGCGGGGGGGAGGGACGGAGTGCGGTAGGGGAAGAGGGCGGTAGTAGGGGGGGACCGACTCGTCAAACGTGACGTCCTGGGAGGACAGAGAACACGGCGAGAGGTGGTGGTGGTAGAACTGCCATCCCAGGGCGCGTCAGGGGGGAACCCCAGGAAGACCGCAAGGAGCAGCACGAGGGGAACAGCTTGTCCGCAGACAAGTCGTGGACAAACGCCCGTGATCCCCAGAACCCCGGAACCGCCGACGCATCGCCAACCTTCCCCGTCCACAGCAAGGCTTGGGAGGTCTCCGGCCTGGAGACCCTGGGGTGGAGGTTGATCTGATGCGCCGTACCTGACCGCAAACGGCCACAGAAAATGGGGGCAGCTGCATGCATCATGGACGTACGAGCGACGTCCATGACCATGCCAATGCGGCACTTAGCGATCCCATTTTGTTGCAGAGAGTCCGGAAGCGTGAAGGTCTGACGGATGCCTCGTGCGCGACAGTAGGCTCTCAGAAGGCAAGAGGAAAACTCTCCGCCTCTGTCCGAGTGCAGACGCAGAACAGGAAAGTCCGAGCCAAAGCTCTGCCTGAGATGGAGACGAGCTGCGCGGATCCAGTCGATCAGCACCTCAGTGACATCACCCTTGCTGCGCAAGGGGAAGACTGCGGTGTAACGCGAGAAGTCGTCAACAACAAGCAGGAAGTAGCGCTCGTGACCCTGTCCACGGACGCGGGCTGGGCCCCACACGTCCATGTGAAGCGTCTGCAGCGGGGCCTCTGTCGGAGGAAACTGGGAGGAGTGAGGGGTAGCCCGCTGGCGCCCCTCGACTCAGGGAAACACAGGAAGGGCCAGGCCCCTGAGGAAGGGGAGGGAGGGACCTGAGGAGACCAGAAACAAGAAGACGGGAGGCCATGCCTTGGAGCCAAAGCAGAGGGGGTGACCAAGGCGGTGTGCCAGAGGGAGTCTCGTGAGACAGGAGCCGACACGAACAGGGGGCAGACTCAGGACCAGACCTGGACGCTGCAGCAAACACCTCACCCGACGCAGCTACCCTACCAGACTCAGCAACTGGAGGAGACGCAGTGGTCAGTGTGTACAGGCTCGACCCCGGCTGACGTGTAAACGTAGCCAAGTGTCGGCCTGTGCGAGCCTCTGTGCAGTGCGTCACTCGCTGACGCGTAGGAGTGAACTGGTGCACTCCCCCATCCTATAGGTCAGCACCACTCACCAAGTTCGTAGAGAACGAGGGAAGGTAGAGACGAGACAGGGTGCCAGAGGGAGCCGCCGGACACGGGAGGACTGTGGAGAAGTGAGACAAACAGGACCCCCAGGGGGTCAGCCAAAGACACCGCAACCGGCCGACTAAGCGTGTGAGTGTGGTGCGGTCCCGAAAGAAGGAGCGAGAAGCCCCAGAGTCAAGGGTGAAGGTGAGGGAGGCCGAAGCCGACGCAGTACCTGAGAGCGCAGACTCACCAGTACCTGAGGACCCAGACGCACTAGCACCTAGAGCAGCAGCGTCGCAAGCACCTAGGGCAGCAGCCGCACCAGTACCTAGAGCATGTCTCAATGCCCGGATCGGGCGGGAAACACCGGTAACAGTCTCCCTCATCACTAATAGTCACAGCATACATGGCAGAAAGAATGGCATCAAAATCAAGATCATAGATGGCAACACCCGCCCTAGAAAGCTCACCCCAGCGAGGGATCTCAGTGGCCTCAGGGAACTGGTGACGCCACGCGTCCGTCAGGCAGCCAAAGTAGCGCTAGGTGGGGTGCGCACCCCCACACTGCTCACCCGCACGGTCGTCGGTGCGCAGGACGTAGGTGCACGGACCAAAACCCCCACCCTGCTGGCGTGCAGTGTACCACTCACGGAGCTGCTGAGGGGACAGGGTCTCACGACCGCGCTGCTACTGCTGGCGCGGACCACCAGCGGAGCCACTCCTCTGCATAGATCCGCGACCAGCTCCACCGCCACCTCCGCCGCCTCTGCCGCCTCCGCCGCCTCCGCCACCACCTCCGCCTCCGCCACCACCGCTGCCTCCGCTACCACCGCCCTCCTCCGCCCCTCCGCCACCGCCGCCGCCCGCCGCCCTCCGCCGCCACTGCTGCCACCGGTACCCCCACCTCCTCCACCACTCCCACTCTCCTCCGCCGCCTCTACCACCACCTCCACCGCCCCCGCCAGCTCCTCCAGCGCCCTTGCCCCCCTTTCCCTTGCCTGTGCGGCGCTTCCCCGAAGGGGCAGACGCAGCACCGACCGACTCAAAACCAACGAGGTCGGCCGCAGCAGCAGAGGCAACAGAAGGCAAGAGGGGGAGGGAGAACACCCCTCAAAGACAGGGGTGCGGGGGTCACCGCGAGAGGCTCCTACAGCGACAATGCTTTTCTCTTCCGCTAGGAGGGCCTTCTCGAGGAGGTCAATGGTGAGAGTGGTGGGGCACACTGCGAGGAAGTGGTCCCTGACTACTCTAAGGGAGTTAGGGAGGCGAGTGACTATGAAGTAGAGGGTGATGTACATGGGGGGGGATTCTTGGCACAGAAGTCAGGAAGCGCAGCGCGGTAGCGAGTGTCACTAGTGCGGAGGTGCGTAATGAGGTCAGCGACTGTGGGAAAGGCAGCAAGGTCAGGGAAGAGGTACGGCGGCATGAGACGGCTCAGTGCAGCAGTGGCAGGGGAGGAGTAGCGTGCACCTACAGCGTCGTACAAGGTCTGAGCACTCTTTACTTACTAAAGTGCGCACGCTCGGAGGTAGGGAGGTGGCGACGCACAGCAAGACGTGCAGCAGCGTCGCGCGTGGCCCACTGGGAGCGAACAGTGGCGTTAGCATCAGCAGTAGGGGCAGGGGAAGCGCCAGAGGTGAGGTCAAAGAGAGAGAGGCCGTCTGCCCTATCGCACTGTAAGAACAGCTGCAGGTCATCTACCCAGACCTCAAAGTCAATGGCCCGACCCTCAGCGTCAAAGCAAGGACACTAGGGGTAGCCATGACCACAGTAGACTAGTAGTGCAGACAGTAGGGTGAGGGCAGTGCAGTGAAAGAGGCGCTGTGCTTACCGGACGGGCCAGCTCGGGCGGCTCGGCAGTAGTGCGGCTCGGCGGCTGGGCGGCTCGGCTGGAGTGCGGCTCGGCTGCTCGGTGGCTCGACTGTACGGCGGCTCGGCTGCTGGGCGGCTCGGCTGCGGGGCGGCTCGGCTGCTCGGCTGCTGGGCGGCTCGGCGGCTCGGCTGTCCGGCTGCTCGGTTGCCCGGGCGTCTCGGCGGTGCTGCTGTAGGGCGGCGCGGCGGTCGGCTGGGTGGGGGGGTCGGGTCGGCAGCTCAGGTGGCGGGCGGCGCTGCAACAGGTGACGGGGCCGCAGGTGAGAGCGGCGGGGCCGCCAATGAGAGCAGTGGGGCCGCAGGTGAGATCGGCGGGGCTGCAGCAGAGGGCGGCGGGGCCGTAGGTGAAAGCGGCGGAGCCGTAGCAGAGGTTGGCGGGGCCGCAGCAGAGGGCGGCGGGGCCGCAGGTGAAAGCGGTGGAGCCGCAGCAGAGGGCGGCGGGGCTGCAGTTGAGGGCGGCGGAGCCGCAGCAGAGGGCGGCGGGGCCGCAGCTGAGGGTGGCGGGGCCGCAGTAGTTGAGGGCGGCGGGGGCCGCAGTTGAGGGCGGCGGGGCCGCAGTTGAGAGCGGCGGGCCGCAGGTGAGGGCTGCGGGGCCGTGTAGCGAGACGGCGGGGCCGTGAGAAGGGCGGCGACGGGCCGCTGCTAGGGCGGCGACGGGGCCGCTGGTGAAAGGGCGGCGCGACGCGGCCGTTAGGGCTGCGCGACGCGACCGTAAGGGCGGCGCGACGGGCCGCTAAGGGCGACGCGACGGGCTGCTAAGGTGACGCGACGGGGCCGCTAAGAAGGGCGCGACCCTAGGTGCGCTTCGGGCAGGGGCAGGACGCGCCCCGGGCAGGAAAAAAGGGATCGGTGGGCCCTAGGAACAGTTCCCACGAGGGAACCTGCTCGATACCATGAGGAAATGTGAACGAGAATGGATGAACTATGAATGAAGTGGTACAAGTACTAACCCTAATTGGGTTGTATCCCCTATGGGATACCCCACTATAGCCTACACAAAAGCATAAGCTATAATATTCTGACACAATTTACCAAAGGCACGCATCGCCCGTCTAAACAGGGTTACTACAGTAAAGTACCTTTCATGATAATTTGGTTGCGAAGTAGGGAAAAGTGACGTTTTTGCCTTCAGATAGTCTGAGGTTTCGAAATTTCGAAACGGATTGTCCGGTACCCACTATTGGGACCGTTCGTTTCGATACAAGTAGGCAGTCTGTGAAAACAAAACAAAAAATATTCAAATAGAGACACCCCTTAACCCGCCCGGTCGCGAATCCACTTTACCAAAACTGACGGAGCTTACAAGCCAGATCTCGCATGGATTTTGGTGTTGGGGTGCGATACGGGACCCCTTCGACGTTGATTTTTTTCGTGCGACAGAGTGTTGGGAGAATTTTCATATTGGGGTAAGGACGCGGTGCAAGTGCAAATATCACAGGACCGTCTGCAAATATCTGTTAAAATAACGAACAGGAATGGATGAACTAGCAGCAGGATGGGTACAAGTAGAAAACCCTCATTAGCTTGTACCCCATATGGGCAACCCTACTACAGCCTACACAATAAGCAGCATATAAATTTGACACACCCCCATAGGCAAAGTGGGGGAGAACAAGAGGCCACAAGACCAATCAAGAAGGCAAAGCAAGCTCAGAGTGGATCACGAAGTCACCACGCATTCTGAGCACAAGCAAAAAAGCCACAAGGTCAAGTCACTTGCAGAGTTATATTAGATAAGAGAACAAGCAGTACAGTGATCACAACCTAGCAAGTCTAAGCATGCAGGTATAAGTATATAGATCACAGTACATGCAAAGTCAAGAAGTGAGCTACTGAGGCAAAGAAGGCACAAGGCTTAAAACTGTACAGAAACGCTGATGATCACCAGGCTGAAGTGCCTTGGTGAAGAAATCAGCAGTGTTGGCCTGAAAGGCCACGTAAACAAGACGAAGCTGACCACGCTACAGCAACTCTCGAGCAAGGAAGTAGCGCAGAGCGATGTGCTTCGTTCTGTGCTCTAGTCTGTGCTCCGGACATAAGGCAATCATGGCCTTGTTGTCGACGTAAAGAACTAAAGGAGAACGAGGCGGCTCTCCCAAGTCAGTCAGCAAGTAGGTCAGCCAGCGTAACTCCTATGCAGCCATGGCCCCTGCGTAGATCTCAGCCTCACAGCTGGAGCTGAGAACAGAAGACGAGCGGGAAGACCGCCATGAAAACAGAACCGGAGCCAAGGCTGAAGGTGTAACCCTATGACGACCGCTGCGTAGCCAAGTCGTCAACCCAAGAAGCGTGTGCGTGACCAGTGAGGACAAATGTGAGAAAGTTAGAACGAGAATGGATGAACTATGAAAGAAGTGAGTACAAATAGGAAACCCTAATTGGGTTGTACCCCATATGGGATACCCCACTATAGCCTACACAATAGCATCAGCTATAAAGTTCTGACACACCCCCATAGGCAAAGTGGGGGAGAACAAGGGGTCACAAGACCAGTCAAGCAAAGCAAAGCAAAGCTCAGGGTGATCACAAAGTCACCACACATTCTGAGCACAAGTTCAAGGCCGAAAGGCCAGTTCACATGCAGGAGCATATATATATATAAGAAGTTAAGCAAGCAAGCAAGCAAGAGTATATATATATGACAATACAAGCAAGGTCAAGAAGTGAGCAAGTGAGGCAAAACAGGAACAAGTCCAAGCTGAGTACAGAAGCGCTGAAGATCACAAGGCGCAAGTGCCTTGGTGAAGACATCAGCAGTGTTGGCCTCAGAGGCCACGTACACAAGCCGCAACTGACCACGCTGCTTTAGCTCACGAGCAAGGAAGTAGCGGAGAGCAATGTGCTTCGTTCTGTGCTCCAGTCGCTGCTCTCGATACAAGGCCAGCATGGCCTTGTTGTCTACGTACAGAACTGGAGGAGAACGAGGCGGCTCTCCAAGGTCGGTCAGCAGGTACGTGAGCCAGCGAAGCTCCTGTGCAGCCATGGCCCCAGCGTAGATCTCAGCCTCACAACTGGAGCCGAGAACAGAAGACGAGCGAGTAGCCCGCTACGAGACAGAGCTGGAACCAAGGCTAAAGGTGTAACCCTGTGACGACCGCTGCGTAGGAAGCGTCTGCGTGCCCAGTGAGGACCACTGGACTCCGCCCTCCAAGCACTAGCCCCACGCCCGACGTACTGCACAAGTAGCGCAACACCCTCTTCGCTGCAGCCATGTGCTCTTGTCGGTGTCTCCCAGGAGCAACATAGCGTGCGAGAATGCTCAGAGGGTATGCAAGGTCAGGTCGTGTGCAGGTCATCAGGTACATGAGGCAGCCAACAAGCTCTGGATACGGGCCACTCGACTCTACGGACTCATCCGAAGGCAGAGCTGAGAGTGAGTGGTGAGTAGGCAGAGGAGTGGCCTGAGGCGAGGAGTACGTGAAGCCGAAGCGCTGAAGGACCTGCTGCACCATGTGTGACTGAGTCAGGGTAATGGTGCAGCGTGCTCTGTCCCGGGTGATCTGCAAGCCAAGGTAGCTGCGCAGTTCACCCATGTTAGTGCACGTGTGTCTCTTCTGCAGCTCGGACTTCACGTAGGCGAGTCCAGCAGTGTCAGCAGTGGCAAAGACCAAGTCGTCGACGTACACGAGGATGTAGAACGGCGGCAGAGAGGTGTCGGTGCGCAGAAACAGTGACGGGTCGGCAGTAGAAGGAGCAAACCCAAGAGCCGCAAGTGTAGTCCTCAGAATGTCGTGCCACTCACGTGGCGCCTGGCGGAGACCGTAGACTGGACGCCGAAGACTCCACTGGGTACCAGGAGGGAAAGACCCAGTGAAGCCAGGAGGGCGGCGCAGCCAGATCTTCTCGTGCAAGCTGCCCTGCAAGAAAGCAGTGCTGAAGTCGAGAGAGTGTAGCTCGTAGTCACGGTGAGCAGCAACGTGCAGCAGTACCCGAAGAGTGGTCATCTTCGGGGTGGGGGAGAAGGTCTGAAAGTAGTCAACTCCCTACCGCTGACTGAAGCCACGAGCTGCGTAACGCGCCTTGAAGACAGGCGGAGAACCCGGCGGCCGCTTCACCCTGAAAATCCACATGCCACTGACGATGTTCGCCCCAGGAGGGGGAACAGCGTCAACGTAGGTGCCTGTGGACTTCCAGGAAGCCATCTCTGCATCCATAGCTGCCTGCCACTGAGAAGAGTAGGGACCCTCTATCGCCTCCGCGTAAGAGCGCGAGTCGGGATGTCAAGTGCATCCGGGTCTCCCTTAGGGGTAAGCACTACGGACACGAGGTGAGGTGAAGCAACTGCCAAGCACTGAAACTCCTCCTGCCTGTCCTCAAGAACGTCCGTTCCAAGAGCACCACTCCCTCGACGGACGGAGGACAGACGGACTCAGACTCAGCGACAAGACTAGTAGTGTAGTCTAGGCGACAGCGAGCAGCAAAGTCGACGAGCTCAGCAACAAGGGCAGACGCATCAGTGGACTCGAAAGAAGGGTCAGTGACGACAGTAGCAAGGAGACGCGTGATTGTAGGACTAGCAGCACGAAGAGAGTCCGACTCCGGGTCGGCAAGAGTAGAAGAGAGGACGCAGGAGGAGAAGGCAGAGGGGCACACAGGGAGCAGTGGACGGACGCTGAGACATCTGGTGCGTGCCAGGGACAGGAGGAGGACGCTGACGCGAACCGCGGCCACTAGCGCGAGCAGCACGAACAGGTGACCTAGGACGAGACGCAGGCTCACGACGCTCAGCAAGACCTCCAGTAGGACCAGTGTAGGGAGAGGGAGCAGGTAGTGGGGAGGCAGGCTATAACTGTAGCTGAGACGTGACAGGCTGTGGACACTCTAGAGAAGGAGGAGGACCTGTAGAAGGTGGAAGACCAAGAACCTGCTGCAGGATTGGGACGAAGTACGGTCGAGGCCCGCGCGGCGACGCCAGACACAGCAGGGATAGCACCAGTACTCCCAGAAGGAGCACCCGCTCCAGCAGCACCTCCAGCAGCCCCAGAACCACTAGCAGCACTAGTAGGCTCAGCACCAACGCCCGCAGCAGCACCAGCTCCAGTCGAACCCGCTGGCCCAGCAGCTCCAGTACTCCGAGCACGACCACCTCCGGGACCCGCGGCACCAGCACCCTCAGCAGTCGACGAACCTCCTGCTCCAGCAGCACGTCTCTAGCGCTGTGCAAACCACTCGCGCAGCTCCGGGGGAGAGAGTGGCTCCCGGCGAGACGAAGCCCCCGTAGGGCCTCCAGGCGCAGCACCTCCAGGCGCAGCACCCGTAGTCGTAGTACCCCCAGGCTCAGCACCCCCAGTCGCAGCACCCCCAGGCTCAGCACCCCCAGTCTCAGCACCCCCAGGCTCAGCACCCTCAGCAGCACCAGAGTCACCAGTAACCTCGACAGGCTCGACTGCGTCTACCTGGGACACACCTGAAGGGGCAGGACCCTGAGGGGGGAGGGGGTCTACCGGGGGGGACCTGGGACAAGGAAGAGCGGGGGCGGGGGGGGGGACGGAGTGCGGTAGGGGAAGAGGCGGTAGTAGGGGACCGACTCGTCGAACGTGACGTCCTGGGAGGACAGAACACGTCGAGAGGTGGGGTGGTAGAACTGCCACCCAGGCGCGTCAGGGGGGAACCCCAGGAAGATGCAAGGAGCAGCGCGAGGGGACAGCTTGTCCGCAGACAAGTCGCGGACAAACGCCCAAGGTCCCCAGACCCGGAACGCCGACGCATCGCCAACCTTCCCCGTCCACAGCAAGGCTGGGGAGGTCTCCGGCCTGGAGACCCTGGGGTGAAGGTTGAGCTGATGCGCCGCGTACCTCACCGCAAACGACCACAGAAAATGGGGGGCAGCCGCATGCATCATGGACGTACGAGCGACGTCCATGACCATGCCAATGCGGCGCTCAGCAATTCCATTTTGTTGCGGTGAGTCCGGAAGCGTGAAGGTCTGACGGATGCCTCGTGCACGACAGTAGTCTCGCAGAAGGCCAGAGGAAAACTCTCCGCCTCTGTCCGAGTGCAGACGCAGAACAGGAAAGTCCGAGCCAAAGCTCTGCTTGAGCTGGAGACGAGTTGCGGATCCAGTCGATCAGCACCTCAGTGACATCACCCTCATAGACTGTGGTGTAACGCTAGTAGTCATCAACAACGAGCAGGATAGCGCTCGTGACCCTGTCCACAGACGCGGGCTAGGCCCCACACGTCCATGTGAAGCGTCTGCAACCGGGCCTCTGTCGGAGGAAACTGGGAGGAGTGAGGGGCAGCACGCTGTCGCCCCTCGACACAAGGGACACAGGCAGGGCCAGGGCCCTGAGGAAGGGGAGGGAGGGACCGGGGCAGACCAGAGACAAGAAGACGGGAGGCCATGCCTCTGAGCTGAAGCAGAGAGGGGTGACCAAGGCGGTGGTGCCAGAGGAGAGTCTCGTGAGACAGGAGACGACACGAACAGGGGGTAGACTCAGGACCAGACCTGGACGCTGCAGCAAACACCTGACCTGACGCAGCTACCCCACCAGACTCAGCAGCGGGAGGAGACGCATTGGTCAGTGTGTACAGGCTCGACCTCGGCTGACGGTAAACGTAGCCAGGTGTCGGCCTGTGCTAGCATCGGTGCAGTGCGTCACCCGCTGGCGCGCAGGAGTGAACTGGTGGACACCCCGCAACCTGTAGGTCAGCACCACTCACCAGGTTCGTAGAGAACGAGGGGAGGTAGAGACCAGACAGGGTGCCAGAGGGAGCCGCCGGACACGGGAGGACTGTAGAGAAGCGCGACAGGACAGGACCCCGTGAGGGGTCAGCCAGAGACACCGCAACCGGCTGACTAAGCGGCGTGAGTGTGGTGCGGTCCCGAAAGAAGGAGCGAGAAGCCCCAGAGTCAAGGGTGAAGGTGAGGGAGGCCAAAGCCGACGTAGTACCTGAGAGCGCAGACTCACCTGTACCTGAGGGCGCAGACGCACTGGCACCTAGAGCAGCAGCCTCACCGGCACCTGGAGCAGCAGTACGAATGCCGGGTCGGGCGGGAAACACCGGTAACAGTCACCCTCATCACTAATAGTCACAGCATACATAGCAGCAAGGATAGCATCAAATTCAAGATCAAAGATAGCTACTCCTGCCCTAGACAGCTCTCCCCAGCGGGGGATCTCACTGGCCTTCGGGAACTGGTGACGCCAAGCGTCCGTCAGGCGGCCAAAGCAGCGCTGGGCGGTGTGAGCACCTCCACACTGCTCACCGCCGCGCGGTCGCCGGTGCGAAGGACGTAGGTGCAGGGACCAAAGCTCCCACCACGCTGACGCTGCGTGTACCACTCACGGAGCTGCTGAGGGGACATGCCCTCACGATCGCGCTGCTGCTGCTGGCGGGTGGCACCACCGGAGCCACTCCTCTGCGAAGACCCGCGACCAGCTCCACCGCCACCCCCGCCGCCTCCGTCGCCTCCGCCGCCTCCGCTACTGCTGCCGCCTCCGCCCCGCCTCCGCCACCGCCGCTCCACCGCCGCCACCGCCTCCACCGCCTCCCCCACCGCCTCCACCGCCACCACCGCCACCTCCGCCTCCACTGCCGCCACCGACCCCTCCACCCCCACCTCCACCCCTGCCGCCACCCCCACTCCCCCCACCGCCACCACCTCCACCTCCATCGGCCCCGCTCGCTCCTCCAGTGCCCTTGCCCCCCTTGCCCTTGCCAGGGCGACGTCTCCCACTAGGGGCAGATGCCGCACCGACCGACTCAAGACCAAGGAGGTCGGCCGCAGCAGCACAGGCAACAGAGGGCAGAAGGGGGGAGGGGGAACACCCCTCAAAGATGGGGGTGCGCGGGTCCCACGAGAGGCCCCTACAGCGACAATGCCCTTCTCGGCCGCTAGTAGGGACTTCTCGAGGAAGGGAGAGTGGTGGGACAGACTGAGAGGAAGTGGTCCCTGACTACGCGAAGGGAGTCAGGGAGACGAGTGACTATGTAGTAGAGGGTGATGTACATGGGGGGGGGTTCTTGGCGCAGAAGTCAGCAGGGAGTGCAGCGCGGTAGCGAGTGTCACTAGTGCGGAGGTGCGTAATGAGGACAGCGACTGTGGGAAAAGCAGCAAGGTCAGGGAAGAGGTACGGTAGCATGAGACGGCTCAGTGCAGCAGTGGCAGGGGAGGAGTAGCGCGCAACTACAGCGTCGTACAAGGTCTGAGCACTCTAGTACTGACTAAAGTTTGCACGCTCGGAGGTAGGGAGGTGGCGACGCACAGCAAGACGTGCAGCAGCGTCGCGCGTGACCCACTGGGAGTGAATAGTGGCATCAGCATCAGCAGCAGGGCAGGGGCAGTGCTAGAGGTGAGGTCAAAGAGAGAGAGACGGTCTGCCTCATTGCACTGTAAGAACAGCTGCAGGTCATCTAGCCAGACCTCAAAGTCAATGGCCCTACCCTCAGCGTCAAAGGCGAGGACACTAGGAGTAGCCATGACCCTAGACGACCAGTAGTGCAAGCAGTGGGGTGGGGGGCAGTGCAGTGACAGAAGGAGCTGTGCTCACCGGACTTGTAGGCAGGGCGGCTCGGAAGAAGGGGCGGCTCGAACGCGCGGCGACTCGGCTGCTGGGCTGCTCGGCGGCTCGGCTGCTTGGCTGCTTGGCGGCTCGGCTGCGGCTCGGCTGCTCAGTGGGGAGGCGGCTCGGCCAAAGCAGTAGGCGACGAGCAGGGACAGGCGGCGTCAGGCCGCCCACGCTCCGCCCATGTGCCGCCCGTACGCCGCCCGTGAGCCGCCCGTGAGCCGCCCCGTGAGCCGTCCGTCCCGGCCCCGAGCGACCCGTGAACTGCCCGTGAGCCGCCTGTGCGTCGCCCGTGAGCCGCCCGTCCCGGCCCCGAGCCACCCGTGAGCCGCCCACCCCGGTCCCGCTCCCAGCCGCCCTCGCACCACGCTGTCCCGGCCCTTCGACGCCCGAGCCGCCCGTGCCACCCGCGTCCCCCGAGCCGCCCGAGCCGCCCGTGCAGCTGAGGAGCCGAGCCGCCCGAGCCGCCCGAGCCGCCTGTACCGCCGAGCGCCCGAGCCGCCCGAGCCGCCCGAGCCGCCCGAGCCGCCCGAGCCGCCCGAGCCGCCTGAGGAGCCGAGCTGCTGGTCCTGTGGGGCTGCTGTTGCTACTGGGCCGGCAGAGCTCCTGTGTTGCCGTGTTACTGTGCTGCTGAGCTGCCCGACCCGTCTTGTCTGGTGAGCACAGCTCCACTGCTACTGCGTGCCCCTTCCCGCACTGCTTGCACTACTACTAGTCTGTCGTCATGGCTACCCCTAGTGTCCTAGCTTTTGACGCTGAGGGTCGCGCCATTGACTTTGAGGTCTGGGTCGACGACCTGCAGCTGTTCTTACACTGCGATAGGGCAGACGGTCTTTCTCTCTTTGACCTCACCTCTGGCGCCGTCCCTGCCCCTGCTGCTGATGCTGACGCCACTATTCGCTCACAGTGGGCCACGCGCTATGCTGCTGCACGTCTTGCTGTGCGTCGCCACCTGCCTACCGCTGAGCGCGCGCACTTTAGCCAGTACAAGAGTGCCCAGACCTTGTACGACGCTGTAGTTGCGCGCTACTCCTCCCCTGCCACTGCTGCACTAAGCCGCCTCATGCTCCCCTTCCTCTTCCCTGACCTTGCTGCCTTTCCCACTGTCGCTGATCTCATTACGCACCTCCGCACTAGTGACACTCGCTACCGCGCTGCGCTTCCTGCTGACTTCTGCGCCCAAGAACCCCCCCCCCATGTACATCACTCTCTACTTTTTAGTCACTCGCCTCCCTGACTCCCTTCGTGTAGTCCGGGACCACTTCCTCGCGGTCTGTCCCACCACCCTCACAGTCGACAGCCTTGAGAAGGCCCTCCTAGCGGCGGAGAAGAGCATAGTCGCTGTAGGAGCCTCTCGAGGTGACCCCCGCGCCCCCATCTTTGAGGGGTGTTCTCCTTCCCCTCTCCTTCCCTATGTCGCCTCTGCCGCTGCGGCCGCCTCGTTGGTCTTGTTGGTCTGAGTCGTCGGTGCGGCGTCTGCCCCTAGCGGGAGACGCCGCTCTGGCAGGGCAAGGGGGGCAGGGAGCGGGTGGGGCCAGCGGGGGCGGTGGAGGTGGAGGTGGAGGCGGCGGAGGTGTGGGGGTGGCGGTGGAGGTGGGTCGGGGTGGGGGTGCCAGTGCGGCAGTGGAGCGGGGGTAGCGGCGGCGGTGGCGGTGGAGTGAGGTGGCGAGGCGGCGGCGGTGGAGGCGGGGCGGGGGCGGTGGGAGGCGGAGGCGGTGGTGGCGGTGGTGGAGGTGTCGGATGGCCTTCGCAGCGGAGCAGCAGCACTGGGGGTGGTCAGCGCCAGCAGCAGCAGCAGCAGCAGCAGCGTCCTCCCGACGTCCCCACCCTCAGCAGCTCCGTGAGTGGTACACCCAGCGTCAGCGTGGTGGGGGATTTGGTCCCTGCACCAACGTTCTTCGCACTGGCGACCGCGCTGGAGAGCAGTGTGGGGGTACCCACACCGCCCAGCGCTGCTTTGGCCGCCTAACGGACGCTTGGCGCCAGCAATTCCCGGAGGCCGCGGAGATCCCCCGCTGGGGAGAGCTGTCTAGGGCTGGTGTAGCTATCTTTGATCTTGACTTTGATGCTATCCTTGCTGCCATGTATGCTGTGACTTTTAGTGATGAGGGTGACTGTTACCGTGTGTTTCCCGCCCGACCCGGGCATTGGTACTGCTGCTCTAGGTGCGAGCGAGGCTTTTGCTCTAGGTGCCAGTGCGTCTCTGCGCTCTAAGGTACTGGTGAGGCTGCTCTCTCACGTACTAGTGAGTCTGCGCTCTCAGGTACTTCGTCGGCTTCGGCCTCCCACACCTTCCCCTTGACTCTGGAGCGTCTCGCTCCTTCTTTCGGGACCGCACCACACTCACGCCGCTTAGTCGGCCGTTGCGGTGTCCCTAGCTGACCCCTCTGGGGGTCCTGTTCTGTCTCGCTTCTCCACAGTCCTCCCGTGTCCGGCGGCTCCCTCTGGCACCTGTCTGGTCTCTACCTCCTCGTTCTCTACGACTTGGTGAGTGTGCTGACCTACAGGATGCTGGAGACCTCCCCAGCCCTGCTGTGGACGAGGAAGGTTGGCGATGTGTCGGCGTTCAGGGTCTGGGGATCTCGGGCGTTTGTCTGTGACTTGTCTGTGGACAAGCTGTCCCCTCGCGCTGCTCCCTGCGTCTTCCTGGGGTTCCCCCCCGACGCCCCTGGGTGGCAGTTCTACCACCCCACCTCTCGCCGTGTTCTGTCCTCCCAGGATGTCACGTTCGACGAGTCGGTACCCTACTACCGCCTCTTCCCCTACCACACTCGTCCCTCCCTCCCCCCCACCCCCGCTCTTCTTGGTACCAGGTCCCCCCCCGGTCGACCCCCTTCCCCCTCAGGGTCCTGCCCCTTCAGGTGTGTCCCAGGTAGACGCGGTCGAGCCTGTCGAGGTCACAGGTGACTCTGGTGCTGCTGTGGTGCTGAGCCTAGGGGTGCTATGACTGTGGGTGCTGTCCCTGGGGGTGCTGAGTCTGGGGGTGCTGAGCTTGGGGGTGTTGAGCCTGGGGGTGCTGAGCCTGGGGGTGCTGAGCCTGGGGGTGCTGAGCCTGGGGGTGCTGAGCCTGGGGGGTGCTGAGCCTGGGGTGTGCTGACCTAGGGGTACTGAGACCGGGTGCTACGCCTGGAGGTGCTTTGCTTGAGGGTTCTTCGCCTGGAGGTTCTCCGGGTGCTTCGTCTCGCCGAGAGCCACTCTCCCCGCAGGAGCTGCGTGAGTGGTTTGCCCGGCGTTGGAGGCGTGCTGCTGGTGCTGGAGGTTTCTTCGGCTGCTGAGGGTGCTGCTGCCGCGCGTCTCGGAGGTGCTCGTACTGGGAGTACTGGAGCTACTGGGCCTGCGGGTTCTACTGGAGCTGGTGCTGCTGAGCGTGTTGGCGCTGAGACTACTGCTGGCGGTCCGGCTGGCAGTGCTCCTGGTGCTGCTGGAGGTTCTGGTGTTGCTGGGGGTTCTGGAGCTACTGGAGGTGCTACTAGAGGTGCCGCTGGAGGGGCTACTGGGGGTTCTGAGCTACTGGAGGTGCTGCTGGAGGTGCTACTGGAGCGGGTACTCCTGCTGGGGGTACTGGTGCTGTCCCTGCTGTTTCTGGCGTCGCCTCGCGGCCCAGACCGTACTTCGTTCCCCTCCTGCAGCAGGTTCTTGGTCTTACACCTTCTTCTGGTCCTTCTCCTCCTCCCTTAGAGGATCTACACCTGTCCATTCACAGTCACAGCTACAGCCTGCCTCCCTTTTGCCTGCTCCTTCTCCCTACGCTGGTCCGACTGGATGTCTTACTGAGCGTCGTGAGCCTGCGTCTCGTCCTGCGTCGCCTGTTCGTACTTCGCGCACTAGTGGTCGCGGTTCGCGTCAGCGTCCTCCTCCTGTCCCTGGCACGCACCGGATGTCTCCGCGTCCGTCTACTGCTCCTCTGCGTGCCCCTTTGCCTTCTCCTCCTGCTTCCTCTCTTCCTTCCTGCTCTTGCCGACCCGGAGTCGGACTCTCTTCGTGCTGCCAGTCCTACTGTCACGCGTCTCCTTGCTACTGCCGTCACTGACCCTTCTTTCGAGTCTTCTGCTGCGTCTGCCCTTGTCACTGAGCTCGTCGACTTTGGTGCGCGCTGTCGTCTAGACTACGCTGCTAGTCTTGTCGCTGAGTCTGAGTCTGCCTGTTTCTCCGTCCATCGGGGGTGAGTGTGCCCTTGGCACGGACGTCCTTGAGGACAGGCAGGAGGAGTTCCAGTGTCTGGCCGCCGCTTCACACCTTATCTCGCGTCTGTACTGCTCGCCCTGAGGAAGACCCAGATGCACTAGACATCCCGACTCCCGCTCTTACGCGGAGGCGATAGAGGGTCCCTACTCCTCTCAGTGGCAGGCAGCTATGGATGCAGAGATGGCTTCCTGGAAGTCCACAGGCACCTACATTGACGCTGTTCCCCCTCCTGGGGCGAACATAGTCAGTGGCATGTGGATCTTTAGGGTGAAGCGGCCGCCGGGTTCTCCGCCTGTCTTCAAGGCGCGTTACTTGGCTTCAGTCAGCGGCAGGGAGTTGCCACAGCTGACACTGCTGGACTCGCCTACGTGAAGTCCGAGCTGCAGAAGAGACACACGTGCACTGACCTGGGTGAACTGCGTAGCTACTTGGCTTGCAGATCACCCGGGACAGAGCACGCCGCACCATTACCCTGACTCAGTCACACATGGTGCAGCAGGTCCTTCAGCGCTTCGGCTACACGTACTCCTCGCCTCAGGCCACTCCTCTGCCTACTCGCCACTCGCTC